ATTGCGCTTGATCGGCGGTTGCCGCATCAAGCGCAAGTATCTTATTTACTTTTGCGATCGGTTTCATTTATACTCGCGACTCGAGCCCGTGCAATTCCTTTTTAGGCCGCGTCTGGTTTCTCGGGCGTGAAATATGCGTCGCTGCACCCTGGCGTTTTTCGTATGTAAATTAGCGAGCCATTATAAGCAGTCATTTCGTCGTCGTTCCGCAAATAATTGCATGAACAAGACATTGATAATTAAAAGAAATTCTCTCTCCCCTTTATCTTTGCGAAAGAGCATGCTAAAAATGTAAAGTACATCAAGGGTACAATTTTTTCTTTTATACTTTACACAGTAAGAATGGTTTTGCTGAAGTAAAAAGTTTAGCTTAAAGATCTGAAAATAACATCTTGTAAGTTAGTGGAATAAAATGAGCAGAATCGATTCTAACATTTTATTTGTTGCTCTTTTGTAGCTAAGAAGTTGTTAAAGAAAGAAATTTGTTTAGTCAGTTTTTTTTTAATGATGTTCCGCTAAAGGAAGATCAGCAGATATATATATATATATATAAAACAACGAAATTATATTTTAAAATAACGTAAAAATTTGTTGCTGTCGAAATATTCAAGTTTTGAATCAGTTACTTACAAAATAAGTAAATAATATCGGAAAAACTTCTCAGCGTGTAAACGATACAAAGGTTAAGTACCAGCACAAAATTTATTGCTTGTTTAAAATTGTACGGAGATATTCTCTAAATTTATTGCTCTCAAGATGTGCAAGTTACGAATTTGTTGCTTGCAATCTTGAGAGCAATAAATTTAGACAATGTCTCCGTACCAAATTTGAATGAGCAACAAATTACTTGTTGTCAAAATAATTATAGGAGTTAGTTGCTAGAATGTCAAAACTTTTTGCATCATTGCCCGGCATACTTCAGCAAAATCATTCTTTCCTTTTATTTGTCCTCAAATAATCATCATCTAAATTCTTTACTATTTATATACTTTTTTAAAAGCTGTATCTGTATTTTTATCAGAAATTTTCAATTTTTTTCAGTTTTGTTTTCCCGAAGTTTCCCTTTTGTACACCAAAATCTCTTACGTCTCGCAATATAAGTTATAGAAGAGAAACTGATCTCTCTCTCTTTCTATTTCTCTTTTTCTCACACACGCAAAATGTATTAGGTGTTGGAATTAATTCGTGGCGTTTTACAAGTGATGGGAAGTACTTTCATTAATGTATTTTTTAATGCTCATGTGAAATAAATAACATTCTTTCATTAAAAACGCTACGAATTAATTCCAACACCTAATATAATATATACATATACATATACATACACATATACATGCTCGCCCCTGCGGTCCTCCTCTATGTGTGACTTTGGTTTAAAATTAACTCTCCCTCTTACTCTTTGCGACTCGCAGCGAGACGTGGCACTCACTGTGAAAATGAAAAAGAAAAATACGGGAGAAAGGAGGAGAGAGGAGAGGACGCTCGCCCTTTTTCCTCCTTCGTCCTCTCTTAACTCGTATGACGAGCATGCCATGAGGATTCCACTGTGCTTCCCGACGAACTGAAATTGCGCGACGTCGGGCGTTGGTCGCTCGTCGCGACGTCTTTTCAATAGAGACTCCTCATGGAATGCAATGGTCGCATTTCAGAAAAGATATTTTATTTAGATGGATTTTGCTTCAAATTTCTTAACCGTTCTTGAGAAATTCCGCGATATTTCGACAGCGTTAACACGACGACATTAGAATGACTGACTACAACGATCGCAGTCTGATTTTATATGTCCATGTACCAGACATTTTTTTTACACGCAAGCTTGTATAAGAAACAACGAACAATCTTATCATTTTTGCGATAATATTCTGTAGAATAAGTAAGTGTAGAATAACCTGAATGTCAATTTATTTTTGGGAGAGGGAGGGGGGGATTAAAGGGGTCTGTTAATCAAGAAAGAGCCGATTAACTCTATAAATGCGGGCTAAGGAGAGCTTAATGTAGTAATTTACAAGAATTTTACAGCTACTTTTTTAAGCTATTGATGAAGCATATAGAAAACTGTAGATTGTAAGCTATATTTTTCTATTGTCCTGTATCGACAGATGGTTTCAACGTGTAACAACTAATAAAAAGGATTGATCTCTACGCGTATTCTTCGAAGTTCATTAGAACCAATATAGTAATTAGAATTTTGTAGAGGATTTGTAGGGGATTACGCGATATCGACGAAAGCTGTCGAAAGAGGCGAATCGGAGGAACATCTCAAGCGGATTTTACGTATCGACGATCTCTCGGAGAAGACTTTTGCAAGGTCAACGTCCTGAGATTCAAGACACATGGCAGCGAAACGGCGCAGGATATTATTACCCGAAATCATGTTGTAATATAATCAGATTATGGCGGTCTTTGGCGATAATCCACACGGATTCAAAGTGCGTTAGAAGCGATCAAGCGTGTGGGAGAGAACCTTGCGAGTTGGCACGAGTTCGCGTTGGTGGCCAAGACTTGGGACGAAATTAAGAACGGGTTGTTAAGCGAACGCTCTGTGCGTAGGCTGCGCTTTTTTTCAGCGTCCCTTAACCAGTTTCCACGTCAACATTTTTCCGGCTTCGGCCAGGTGGGCCGACGGACGTTTCTATCAGCTGCTCTTTACGCCTTTCTACAATTTTTTTTTCTACTTCCCTTCCTCCGGACGTGCTCTCATTTTGTTTCATTCCCGCGGCAGTGCCGAGCCAACATTTTTCACGCGACCATCTCTGCAGAAAACTCGCCTATAATTTCAAATATTCTTGCTCGTTAATCTTAATTTTTTTATAGAGCGACAGTTAATTTTAATTACATTTTTTATAAATTCATTATAGAGAGAAAGATGCAAATGTTTCCACAACTTTTTCCGACAAGTGAAACTCTTTAAGAAACGCACACAGTCCACTAAATTTGTTGTCTCTATTTATGAATTTAATACATTAAATGATATATAATATAAATTGATGAATGGTCAATATTAATTAGTGTTATTATATTTCGGCAGCTCGTTTAAATTACGATAGGTTTATGTAATAAGTACGAATTCATTACGTATCTAAATTACCTATTACGTTACGTTAATTAAAATTAATTTGTTATTTTTTAGTTATTGTGTTAATTGAGTAATAATGATGATAATAATAATAATAATGATGATGATGATGGTGATGAAAAGGATTACTTTATTTATAATTAATATTGCATTAATTGTTCTCGTGGAAATTCTTGGTTTCAGAACAAAATTGCCGAAGTTTTTCTAAATACAAAAAGATACGAGGAAATGCAGTTGAGTTTTAATCAAAAAAAAATTAATGTATCGAGTATGACAATCAGATCGATTTTTAGATCCATTTAATCTAACTGCGACTGTAATATCGTAGTGACAGAAAATTTTTTTACGCCGGAATAGAAATGTCGTAGTCTTTTGTTGTCCTCGTTCCCTCGCCACTGCTGCAGAGTCAAATGTGAAAGGTGGAAAGATAAAATGTACTTGCGAAAAAGCACCCTTCCTTTGTCACGCGAGTATTTCACGCGAATAGATGTATCGAAGGGGTCAATTGATTCGACGATTTCCGAGGTCCATCCAATCGGACGAGAGTAATTCTCCTCCAACTGTCACGGTGCACAGGTGGGTGGTGGCAGTGCGTAGAGGGGCGGGGAGAAAGAGATGGAGAAGGAGGAGAGAGTGCTCCGGGGGCTCTGGGCTAGATCGATAATGCATCTCTTGGCGGGCGTAGTACCTCTTAGTCACCGGAGGGCGATCGCACCTACGAGGAGGTATTCTTCATGTTGGAGCCACTTCGGCTCACGAGAGGTGTGCTTTCTCCGTATCGGGGTCCGTCTCGCGCGTATCAATGCTGTATGGACGTGTAAAATGATCCGGGATAATCGCACTGAATATTAACTGAGGTACTCTTCGAAACGTGATAGCTCGTATTCACTTCGGATTCCCGAGAACTCCTCGTTCGATATTTCATATTTCCTTCAATATTTCTACCGCAGAACACCTTTGCAGGTACGTACACCGTATCGTCTCGTTACGTGAACGGTGCGAGTGAGCGTATAGTTTTCGAGGGTGATACTCCTTGAATTATCGAACGAATTATGCTGGAACTATTTATCTTGTCCCATTGTTGCGTGTAATTATTGGCAATGATTTCCGTAATATGGATGCGAGAACCGCATGTCTCTTTTGTAAGCTGGTAATTATCTGGAATGAGGTATTTCCATATCGCTCCCATATACCATTTCAACATTTCCTTTTGTTCTTAATTTTGCTCTGTATTACGTTGAAATTATCTAGCCTAGCAATTTTCGTCGAAAATCATCTTTCGTTAGTTTTTGCTGAAAGTATCGAGAATTTTATAAATTCTCGATGATTACATGATGGTGAAATAAAGCTATAATATAATTCGATAATTGAAATATTCGATGTAAAGGTGAAAAGTAAGTCTAATTCGTAAGAGCTATTTAAATACGATTTTATATTAAACTATGTTATGGATTGTCAGTTTAGCCAGATTATTCTTGGTATTAAACTCGTTTTAAATAATTTTGAAAAAAAAATACGAATTTATTATAGAAAAATCGATAAAACAGGTAAAAAAATTTAATATTGTAATATAATATACTTGATACTATTAAATATTGCTATCTGCATAAAATAACGCAAGAGAATCTGTAAAAATTCAAGAAAGTAATTAAATTATTAGATAAAGAAACATACTTGTCACACGTCTATTTGTATATAAATACGTGCGCACTGAATTCACTTTTCTTTGAAACTTTGTGATGAAAAGCCACGTTGTGGGATTTGGTTTCTCGATTTACTATTTAAAAGATACTATATAAAAAAGGAAATGATATAATATCAATGAACATGATTTTTATCAATAAATGAAAATAACATGACGTAAGAAATGTAACAAAGTGAATTTATTCGTCAATGTATCTAATTTCTCTTACGCTTATTCCAGAACCTCTTCAGCATGCACTGATCGTAGCGGATAATGTAGCGGACAGCGAAGATTCCGAGGACGAGTGGGATTATTATCGTGCCGATCCGAACAAGCAGGAATCTGCAGTGACAGCTGTTACGGCAGACGAATCCCGCAAAGACATTGAGGAGCAAAGTGTACAGGAGACCGAGTCTGTCGCGGAAGCTAGCTTGGAAGTTCAGTCTTCGGGAGCAGAAGACGATATTAAATGCGAAGACTCATCGAAACTTCTCGAGCCCAATTTTGAGATCGACATCGATGTAAGTCTATCTTGGTACTTTTCTTCGTTGTTAAATATTTATTATTCATTGTAAGAGCACGTATTTCGAATAATACCATTGCATTTTCAGATAAACGACGAAAAAGAGTTGATCGAATTGACTCCAATTTATCCAGGTATTCTAGAGGAAGAAAAGAACAATATGGATTTCCAATTGAATCCGGAGGCAGCAGAATTCGTGCCGTTATCACCACCGTTAGTATGCAACAGAAGCAACACACGCTTGCGGGATTTTGCCATTAGTGGCTCTCCTCTGAAAACAACACAGACGATGGATGATATTCGTGTACCGAGCCAGAGTGAATTCGACAAGGAAGTCTGTTGTCGACCAAAGGAGATAGGCGAGGAATCGCACGACGAAAATGCAGAGCTACAGAATAATAGTTCACAGAGTTTGGACATATCCGAGATTTCGTCGACCAAAGCCGAAATCGGTGATGACGAATCCATGATGCATGTAATGTCTACCTCACAGTGGCAGACGGATATCTCTTCTCAGTGGAACGAAAAGGCGCATGACGATGCGGGTTCTGATTTAGAAGATGGCGGTGTCGTCACCAAGGACGATCCTATGGCTGTATCGTTAACTCCAGCTAGCTTCAAAGCGTTCGAATTGAAAGTTGATTTGAATGCCTTACACATATTGGACGATAGTTCAGATGGTGCTGAACAAGCGAGCACACCACCGCGTTCACCCGAGCCGTCTATGAAGATTACATACGACGAGGATCGTCCGAACACACCTTCTTTGGAGGACAAGAATTCGATCGATGTCTTATGTACATCAACACCACAGCCTCCAGATGATTCTGTATCTGTAAATTCTGAAACTACTAACTCTGAAACAAAGATAAACGAAAAGGAAAGTTCATTTGATAGCAATCCATTCTCGCATGAAACAGAACTCAGCTGTACTGCGGAGAAGGTAATCAATAATGTACCAGGAATAGACATACAAGGATATGAATCCGATGAAAACATCCCAAAAGAACATACGGAAACCTTCAAAGAAGTTTATGACATAGAAAATTCTTCTGACACAGAAGAGGACAAAAATTTATGTAAAAAAGAAGATAATAAAGATGCTGAAGACGCGCAAACTTTTATTATGAGGTCGTTGGATGATAGTGCAAAAATGTTAGAAACAGAAAATGTGGAATCCGAAGTGTCGAAAAATCTTCCAGATTCAACAAGTCATTCAGATTTAGATGATGCAATACATACCACACAACATTATCTCTCAGAACAAAAGTTATTATCAGAATTAGTGAGTTTAGAACACACGGTGCCAGACGAAACGTTACAGACGCAGCTAGATTATTGCGCTATCAATCTTGAAAATAATGTTCAAAAGTTGGAAAATCTTATTGAACCACTGATCAATACAGAAAATCAGTCAAACCAATCTTCTGATTGGACAGATTATTGTAAAACAGAAAAGGCGATACTACAAACTGAAAATCCTGACTGTGATGTATACAAAAATGATTCCTTCTTTGAAAGTAAAAAACAAGAAGATATCGAAAAATTGTGTGATGAAGACAAAGACAGCGATAAAAATGACTTCAAACCGGACAGTACAACCGAATTAATATCGTCTGACTCGATGCACAAATCTAATTTTATGGAGGAGGAGCTGCAACACGAAAACCAGATGTTTGAAGAATCTGTACCGATAACAATACTAACTAATGAGCCAATTAAGCAAGAGCAAATAGAAGAAAAAACTGCGGAATTTGTATCGGCTAATGTTGATGAGGAGGTATTAAAGGAAGAAATTACTTTTGAAACTATTCTTCCGAAACAGGAAGAGATTGAATTGCAAAAGACTGTAGAAGTTCTTGAAGATATCGCAACGATAGACAAGTCGAAAGAAGTTTCGGAAGTCGCGCAAGTATCAGTGGAAGCCGCTATCGGTGCAACGGCGGCTACAACGAGCGCGAAACGTCCAACAAAAACTACCATGACGAAAACAACAACGAAAACAGCAACGAAATCGCCAACTTCGCCTTCTAAACCTATCAGTACGATCATGCGAACAACTACGACGTCATTACCAGCATCACAATCAACCTTGAAAAAACCTACTACAAGTACCGCGACTCGTCCTAAGCAATTAGAAGGATCGACTAAAACGACAGTCTCAAGCACTAGCGGTAAAACCACCATCACAAAGACAACGGTGATTCCCAAAAGTACGACAACAGCGACGAGAACCAGCGCTTCTCCACGGTCCGCTACAACGAGACCAAAAACTACCACCACCACCACTACCTTGTCGAAAGTGAGTACTCCAGCATCGATCGAGAAGAAGTCAACGGTGAGCGGTGACACGAAATTGGCCAGTAAACCCGCCACCACGAAACCAGCGAGCACCACTGTTAGAACAACAACCACTAGCACAACCGCAAAGACACTTGTCAAAACGTCAACGGCTACAAAAACATCAACATCCAACATAACGTCAAAACCAAGACCCGTGTCTGCGACTTCAGCTACTAAATCTACATCAACATTAAAGCAATCTACAACTGGCGTTAACGGTGCATCGCGACCCAAAACTGCGCCGACTTCTGGTGGCACAACCAAGCCACGTGAAAGTAAAACGATCACAGCCACTGGGAAGTCGCCGTTGATTGACAAACAGAGCAAAGAGACAGTCAATAAGCAAATTTCTCGTTCTGGAGCATCGGCGCCTAAGACGAGTGCTAGCTCTTCCGTACCTATCGGTACAGTTCTTGGCACTGCAAACACACGCAAAAAAAAAGCTCTTCCGTACCTATCGGTACAGTTATTGGCACTGCAAAGACTCGCACATCGGCTGGGAAATCGTCTGGAAACGCTTCCGCGATCTCGCCAACGAAGAAAACTCTGACTCCGTCGAAGTCTACGTCAAGAACCTCCACTACTGTGACGAAGCGAATATCGAGTGAGGCCAAGGTATTGCAGAATGGAATTTCCAAGGAGGACGCCGTCATAACAGCAACGAAGCCTGAGGACGACGTACCGCTAAAGGATGCGTCACCGGTGAATATGCCGCTCGATAATCAACTGATCGCCGATTGAACAATCGATCGATAAGCTGCGAACTGTCCGCCGCTTCGCGACAACATACGTCGGCCTAGGAATTACACGTCGTCGCGGGTGAACCGACATATAAGTTTCTCCTTCTTATTATTGTTTAACGGACAGAGCACGACTGCGCGTCGGGACATCCACTAGAGTAGTGTTTAGGGATTTATACATGCATGTCAAACCGAAAAATTTTTTATTGTTCTTACGTGAATGCATACATATGTGACAGAGATATTAGTCTAACAAGAACGGGAGGCATACCCTAAACATTGCTTTTAATAACTGCTGCCTTATCGTAATAAGGATCGATAGTCTTGTTATGTAAATATAATTCGGATGCGTTTTCATGCGTCATTATTTTCAACTGATCCGCGGGCCTGAGATTGTCTGAGAGAAGGCTCAGGTGCTTGTGGCGGCTTCTGAAAATAGACTCGGCTCCGATAATGGCAGTATGTTAATCTTTAACGAAACTCGATAAAATATATGGATTTTTTACAATTTTTTAATTTTATATGCGCAATTATAATTGATAACGATTACTCGCGACATAATTTTACTCGAATCACAAAAAAGGAAAGGAATGGAGGAGAGGGAAGCGTATATTTATTCTTGTTTGTTCCTATTTTTTGAAGTTGAATTCATTGCGAGATATATACTGACTCGTAATCATGATAATATAATACTATCTAATCTATGTGTACAGCACCCTATGGTTTAATGTGATATATCTTACAGTACTATATTAAATAAATTCGAATAATATGCACTAGAGAAGCCAGAAGAAGTTTATATATGTATATGAACGGAGAAAGAGAAAAGGAATCGAAAAGTTCAGTGAAAAAGAGAAAATTCATCAAAGAAAATCAAATACTATATCTCTTTGATATAATATTTTGATTGCTTTTATTAAATCTTCTCTAACTAAACATTTGGATCCTGCTTTTCTCAGCGCCGATCATCGATGTAGATAGTCGTCGTGTGCGCGCGTTTAAAGCTTTCAGACACCGCACATATCTCAAATTTTCTTTTCTCTTGCGTTTCGAACTTCCACTGTTGGAACGCGCACTCGACGATATCTAATACTGTGGAAACTTCGATCGAAAATGGTTTCCCCCCTTTTTTTTATCCTGTTTGACTTCCGATCGTGAAATATACTTTCGTCTTATTTTATCAGAATCGATACATGCTCGCAATATTTTTTATGTGCGCCCACAACGCGAGCGTTAAATGAGCCTTCCCACAAGCACGATGAAATCAAGGATTTAAAAGACCGGCAACTCTTTTTAAGATGAATACGTTTAATGCAAATGGCGAGTCCACTGCGTAAGCGACTCACGCTATCGATCAGGAGTTTTATTCTTGAAAAATATCGCATGTGAAAATAGTAGAAAAATCTATGTTACATGTAATATATACTGTAGCATTTTCGTACATTTTCATATGCGATTCTCGAGAATATGTATCCTGTATACACGCACACATATTCGATATGATATGCATTAAAATGCAGCTCCGCATCAAGGCGTACGAGGGAGCGTAGCTTAGCGTTTCACATGCGCGTTTCGTATACATGTTATTCCGACTTTCTTGTGTACGCATATTTGTCACCATTTTATTCTTTTTTTTCCTCAGAATTCATAATTGAATAAATAAATATTACGTTTGAACAGTGTTATATCCAGCATTATATATACATCCTCTTGTCCTGCCCGATTGACACCTTGCTGCCTCGTCTCGTCTCGGGGAAATGGAGTAGACAAAAAAAAGTACTCTTGTACATTTCAATCTCTTTAATGAAGTGTGATATTATGTACTGCTATTTTTAAATTAGGAAAACTGGCTTTACACTCTTTTGTATATACGCTTGGCTTGAACGTCGCTCTTATTGGAAGATAGATGCTGAAACGGAAAAGAAGAACCGTGTAAGTGCTCGTGCACTTTGTCACTTTGCGTCGCACGCTGAGAAAAATGTCTGGACGAATCAGAAGATTCTGATTATATCAATCAGTATTTCGATTATCTCGATTAGATTTCTAGTAGATTAATTCAGAAAATTCAGATTTGTTTATTTTCAACTGAATAGAATCAGACATTTTTCTCAGAATCATTTATATTCTATTGTTTATGTAACACATTGTTATTGAAATCACTTACCACAATCATTTCAGTGTCTGTGAATTCATAATTTCGGATCGCTGTGATACCTGTGGATAAGGTGGTCTCCGTTCTGAGACCATTTCTTTCCTTCGTGGTTACGCTCTACGACATAAAATGAATACATAACGATGTAATAATCATCTATACTTATTGCAAAAATAATACCATTAGAACGTGTAAGATGTATCTAAATTCTTTAGAATGGTATTTCACTCTACAGAATAAAAATTGAACCAGTTTTGGAAGAGTTGCTCAATTTTCAATCTCTTCATGAGATTTATTTAAAAAATTTTAGAGTACATGATGGCCATATTCAGTAGAATGTTAAATTAAAAATTGGCCGTGTTTAGAATGTTTATTTTGCAACTGATTGACAGTTTTTCTTCTTACCGATTAGATCATTTTTTAGATTTAAAAAAATAGTCCTATTTCTCAGCGAAAAAAAAATTTTTAATAGTTGCAAAATAAACATTCTGAACGCGGCTAATTTTTAATTGGAGTTTCTTAGATCTTTGTATTCTTCAACTATCGTTGAATTATTTCGCACTTTTATGCGAGAGAAATAGAAAAAGAAGAATCACTATTTAGCTCGCAAATCGACATGCGGAAGTTGTTTTATCTAATGATTTTCTGCACACGAAGAGTCCTATTCTTTCTAACTTATCTTCTCCGGAATATCAAATCTCAGAATCTCGTAGCTTTTTTGCTGCATGGAAGAAGATATTCGGTAACTTTGGACGAGCCTTGAATGCATTAGCTGCATTCAGCAAAATATTTATTTTATAACTATTGAAAGTTTTCTTTGCTAAAATAGAACTATTTCTCTAGGTCAAAAAGTATAATGCAATCAGCGCAAAAAAAAAACTTCCAACTATTCTACTGAACGTAGCCTGTACATTGTATTCCAATATAGAAGAATAATCTATTATATTAATTTTTAAATTTAATATTCATCAGGTAGTATAAAAGAAGGGCAACGAGCCAATGACGCAAATAAAAAATTATAATTCAGATAAGAAAACTTAATACAAAAACAATTAAAATACAATAAAATGAAACAAACGTTTCAACTCCAATTGAGTCATTTTCAATGCCATCATACAAATGACAACAATATAAATGTCGTTCTAAATTAAAAATTAATACATAATCTTACAATATTCTTAAAATTAACAAATAATTCTTTCCTCTTTCGGTGTAATACGCTGTGAGTCATTTTTATCAAGAATTAACAAAGTCATAAGAAAGTTCTGGAAAAGTAACCGTATACAAAAAGAATTAATATTAATCATATAAAAATTAAAAATATGATGATATACCTTAGTAAATCTGTTAAAAGTCCCATAATACACAACGAGAAAAAAATGTAAAATGTGGTCCATTTTGTGGTACAGTAAAATAGTCTTTTTAATTTAATAGGTTATTAAAGCAAATTCGCAAAAGTAACGAGCATCTGACTTAAACAATGTCACACAACGAAATGTCAAACAGAAAAACATTGTCGATAAACGGAAAAAGGAAAAATAGGAGGAAAAAGACAGAAGATGTTAGAAAGGAGAAAGTGAATGTATAATGTCAGAATACAAATCCGGCAAAGACTCCGTGTCATTTTGTCTATTAATCCCATGCTTCTGTTTTTTAATATGAACCATTTCTGATATCAACCTTTTGTTGTATGAAAAATAATGCCAAATTATAAAACGGGCTATTTACCGATGAGACAATAACTCTCAAAGGATGGTTTTGTTTGTGTATCTTAGTAACACCATAACCCCCATGGGTTCACCTTTGTCATCGGTTGTTGCAAGCATTGTTATGCAGGATTTCGAGAAGATGGCTATTGGAATGCTGCCTTGTCG